AGATGGGGTCTTATTGTTGCTCAGGCTGGTCTTGAACTCCTGGCCCAAAGCAATCCTCCCATCTTGGCCTCCCAGAGTGCTAGAATTGCAGGCATGAGCCATCTCACCTGGCCTTAAAATTTTTTTTTTATTCCCACTTGGGTTTTTAGGAATTTCCAATTGAAAAAAACCAGGTTTTTTTGTTGGGGGGAGGGGGTGTCGTTAAGTTACCTGGCTGTACAACACCAGGGATGCCATTTATATCGTGTTCTATAGCAAACCCAGCAATCCTAGGTGGGACAAGAACCTCTAGGAACTGCTTGAGACTGATAAATAGCTTATATCTTATTATATCATTTGTCAACACCCTCCTGGCATTAATTTGGTACATGCAATACTGCTCACTATGCAAAGCTGATAAAATTGGTTTCTTCCATTGCTTTTGGTAAGAAACTCTATCAGTTCAATAAATACTTTTTAACAACATGACCACTTTTCAAATTCATCACCCATTAAAGCAAAACAAAAACTCAGCTACACAATTTCTAAGCAAAGTATTGTAAAAAAAACATAATTAAAAGGAGGACCCAATTAGCTAAGAAAGCCACCAAAAGAGCTGGATCCAAAGGCTCCCTCCAAATGACTATGAATTAAAGTAAAAATCCTCAGAGAGAAAAAATGTGCAGTTTATAGTTTTGTTTTATGCAGCATTGACCTTGGAGATTGCTCCCAGGTCTTAAAAGGCTTCAAACTCTTCTATAACTTTAACATATGAAGATAGCAACATAGTTGGTTGATGATGGCTACGAAAACATCTGGCAGAGCCATACTGACAAGGGAATAGTTTGTTTTATGATAGAAGAGGAAGCTTCTGTTCTCGGCTAAGAGCCATGTCTTCATACACCATGGAAAGTTTGTCAGTAAGTGGTTGCCTCTTTGTCTTAAACTTTAAAGCAGTTTAGTAATTAGCTCCAAATAAGGAAATTAACTGGAAATCAAAGTATTCAAGCAGGCAAACCCATTATAGCTCTTCCAAATCTTTGGGGAAAAAAGGGTTAGAGAGCATTAGAATAACTTTTTTCATAAGGAGAGGATTAGAAGAATTGACTGGTAGGTGGAAACATACTGGAGGCTGTTGTCTTGTTTGCAGGTGTGGGGGCCTCAGAAGGTCTCTCTCCATTTAGAACCTTTGTGTTTGTCTCACCAGGGCCTTTAATTATGTGAACTCAACTCCACTGCTCTGAACACCAGAGTAGCTGAATAGCTAGTGGTGACATCCTGTAGACCCAAGAATAGAAATAGCAGTTCCATTTAACAAAGTACAAAGTGTCATTCATTGACATACATCTTGCTCAGATCTGAAAAATATTCTCCCTTTCTTCAGCTTTCTTGTATTTCTTTAGGCTACCTCTTCTGTTGTGTTCAACTGTCAACACATCTCATGTAGTTATTTTCATGCATACCATCTTCTGGAACCATGCCTTATACTTACTTACTCCCTGTGTGCCTAGAAGAATGTCTTGTACATGGTGTTCAATAAATGCTAGTTGGATACATTTAGGGATCAGGCCAAGAGACTGGCCAACTGCAGCAATGGTCAGTGTGGCTAAAGCCGCACCTAAAAGTGTCCCATCTTTAGGACAAAGGACAGCCAATCTTGGGCTATTTTGAACTGATTAAGTGATAATGCCCCTAAATATCACTGATTTCAACTGGCATTCTCAGTAAAGAAGTGGGCTTTTTATTTATCTCTGGAATTTTCCATCCAAAGAGTATTTGGGTTTTCTTACAGAAAAAATCATTTAGCAACAGTGTGTTCATCAAACATCAGGGCAGAAGTCATCCTGCACCTAAAATGGTGATTTTTTAATGTTTCCTGTTTCATTTTAACTACTGTTGAAGCCATCCACTGGGTAATAGTTTTTGGATATGATTTTTCAAAAAGCTCCTACTCTACTTTGAATGAGTGTTGTAATATAATAGTAAATAGAGATTTACTATTGCAAAGTTATTAGAGAGGAATATTCTTATCAAGCATTTAGGACTCAGCTTGTCCCTCCCCTTGAATTTATATTAATTGATCCTGACAGCTTCAGCTGACATGAGTTTTGAGGAATTCCAAGTTAATCTACTTAGGTCATATCTAAACACTTTGGGGACCTCTTATTAAACAGTGTGGAAGTTCTAAATGTTTCCATGAAAAGGCTGCCAGAAAAGGGAAATCTGTTAATAAAAAGGAGAATGACATAGACGGAGGGTTTACCTATTGTAGAGCAAGAAAAAGAACAGGAACTAGAGTAAAATGAGGTCACAGCTGTGATGAACGGCTGTGGTGGCTTAGCTATTGAGGCCAGGCTAAGCTGTTTACCACCAGATTCTGATACAAAGGAACACTGCCAGAAAGGGTCCTTTGAAAATATGCGGTGGAGTTACAAGAAATAAATCTTCATTCATGAAAGTGGTAATCGTTGGGGCAACACTGAGTCACACAGAAGGGGGAGGGCTTCTCCTTTGCAAAAGACAAAATGGTTTTCAATCAAATATAGTTAGTTCTTAGAAAATTATGGGCCTATTTGTTTTGCAGAAGTGTCAAAGTTTCCAAAAGAGATTTCTTTTGCCGGGTTGCCTAGCCATTAATAAATACATACTACTTATTTCAAAGATGACAGAATTTAAAAGGTGCACTTGGAACTCTATTTAAATTGATGATAATTGCTGTTTGTCAAATGTGTTGTTACCTATATGAGTCCTATTTCCAGTTAGCTGTGGCATTTCCGAGATGGGCTGGTCTCTTTGGAAGGCCTACTGGCAAAGGGTGGGCTGGACACAGGACCCAAGAGGTTCAATCTGGGGATTCGATGTGAGAACCCCAAAATGCCCAGGGTCAAGGCTCAGGGACAACAAAGAGTTGCCACCTCTCTTTTTCTTTCCTTCCTCTACCTCCTGCTTCCTTTGTCCTTCTTACTCCCTTCTCTCAGCTTTTTATCAGAAGGCTGGCTTAGGGGTCTGGTAAGGCCTGGTTCCACAGAAGAATCTTTGAAAAGTTACCAGTCAGTTGAGTTCTATTCCCTAGGCTCTCACTAGCCCCTCATCAACCCTAGGCCAACACTAGGAAGGTAGCTGGAGGAAATGGGGAGATGATGAGGACCGGGTGCCTTCTTCTGTTTGTGTGGGTTGTATTAAGCATAAACACAATTAGAAATTTTATCTGAGAACAAATATAAGTATCCTAAATAGGTTCCAGGTGTGTGACTTCAAGCACTCACCTTCCCTCTCTGAGGGTCTCCTTTCTGAAAGCCCTCTGGGCAGGTTCTTATCACTGCAGTTGGTTGAATAGAGTACTGAATACCTGTTCCATTCCACCTGCGAACCCAAGGTAAAAAACTGGACTACACCAGAAAGAGCAATTTCCTTTCCCCCATCGGACACAGCACTTTAAGCTTCTGGTAGAGATGCTCACCAGGGCCTCCCAATTCCATTTTTTTTTTTTTTTTTTTTTGAGACAGAGTCTCACTCTGTTACATAGGCTAGAGTGAGTGCCATGGCATCAGCCTATCTCAGAGCAACCTCAAACTCCTGGGCTCAAGCAATCCTCCTGCCTCAGCCTCCTGAATAGCTGGGACTACAGGCATGTGCCACCATGCCTGGCTAATTTTTTCTATATATTTTTAGTTAGCCAATTAACTTCTTCCTGTTTTAGTAGAGACGAGGGTCTCACTCTTGCTCAGGCTGGTCTCAAAACTCCTGACCTTGAGCGATCCTCCCACCTCAGCCTCCCAGAGTGCTAGGATTACAGGCGTGAGGCACTTCGCCTGCCCCCTCCCCCCAACTCCTTTCCTTGGGTGCCATCCCTTTCTTGCCAGGCAGTCCATCTTGCAGACCGTTAAACCAAGATTTCTCAATTGCCATTTTGAATCCACAAGGACTTACTGGGTGCCTACTATATGCCAGGCTCTGGGAACACAAAAGTGAATATGACACAACTTAGATCAAAATAGTCCTTGATTTAAAAACTTTGGTGGATTCCCTATTTTCTGCTTCATGCCAAGCTCCACCTTCCCATCCAAACATTTCCCACCTCCCCCCACAAGCCTTGTAGTCTTGCCAGCCTCCAAAGCACCATTCCTCAGGCCTGGAATGCCCTCTTCTCTCTGAGCATGTTCAAATCTCTCATCCCGGGTTTTGGTGTCCCTCCAGGGTAAATAGGCAACGTGGGGGAAGGCACCTTCTCCTTTTATTCTGACTGGCTCCGGGCGAGGCCCCATTGAGGAGGAGGCTGAGATGAAAGTGACTTGTCCACAGTGGATTAGGGACTACCGGCCCCTATAATCTCTGCTAGGAGGACAAGTCAACTCTTCTCCCTCTCTTCTGCACTCTGCAGGCAGCACACAAAAAGCATCTGTAAATATTTACCCGGAGGTGGGGTTTCACCTTTACCTTTCATCTAACCCGGCAAAGAGGGCTGGTCCCTTCTGAAGCGAAAAGAAGAGGTACTCAATAGAGGCGTCAAAAATAATTCTTTAGTTCTTCTAATCACAAGAAGAAAAACCAACTCAATAAACCAACTTGGAAAGCACCACCACAAAGTCCCTCCATCATCCATCACCCCCCACCCAGAGGTGAGGACAAGGTAGCGCCAGGTGGCTTAAGACCTGCCAAGGGTCCATGCCATCTTCTCCAAGGGAGTAACTCATATACTCACCCGCCTCCCCACCTTGGCAGGAGGGAGCTTCTTCCGTCTCTTGGGGGGCTGAAGACTTGGGGACAGAAGATGCGCCAGAGGGAAGACAATAGAGAATCGGACACCAGAAGAACTTTGGGGTACTCGTGGTGGGAAAGAAGGAATGAGGAGAGAAGGGAGGCCCCGGGGTGGGGGGGCGGGGCTGGAACGGGAGGAGTCACTGTGCGTGGCCGGCCCCTCCCTGCCCCTCCCCTCGGGTCGGGACCCGGCCCTCCTCCCCCTTCGCCCCCTCCTCCTCCCTCTCCTCCCGGGTCGCCTCCTCCTCCCTCTCCGCCGCCGCCGCCGCCTCCTCGCGGAGTGGATGGCGGCAGCCAGATTCGGAGCCCCGCCGCGCTGCCCGTGAGTGACCAGCCCCAGGGGACAGAGACTGGGAGGCATGGGGGACCCCCTCTCCAGGGTGGGGCCTCCCCCAGTTCTCTGGGAAAGTTTCCCTTCCAGGGGCGCGGGCGCCCCGGGACTCGGGCATCACCTGGGCCCGCCGGACGGCCGGTCTCCCCACACCCGCCCTTGCTGCCTGCAGAGGTGCTCCGGGCCGCGAGGCGGTGGGCCGCGCCCGCGCTTCCTCTCCTCACCTCTGCTGAGGCTGCTGCTGTGACCCGGGTCCGACTCTAAAGAGAAAGAAAACTCAGCAAAGAATCCAGACTCCGTTCCCTGAGCGGGGCCCGGGGGCTCGCACAGACCCGCGCGCGGTGCCCAGACCTTTCGGACCCGGGTCGCCAGCCTCTGTCCCTCATCCCTCCCTCGGGGGCTCCGGATCCCCCTCACCCCGGACTCTTTCTTTCTTTCTGGATCCTGTTGTTCGCGCTGCTACCTCCTCTCCCCCCTCCTCCCTGAGAGGCGCTGTCCCCCAGGCTCGCACCGCCGCTGAGGTCTGCAGCCCGTGTCCCCTCCCGCCCTAGAAGGCGAGAAGTCAGGCCGAGGGGCCACAGCCGCCGCCACACTTGCCCAAATATTTCCTGCAGGAATGACATTCACTGGAAAGTAGCGTTGGGTAACTTGGCCCGACAAACTGAACCTTGTGGATGTGAGGGAAAATTAAAATATATTCCTCTTTAGGATTTTACTATTTCTATTGGTTTGGCTTTTTTTTTTTTTAATTTTAAACTCTCTAACTGTGCTTTCTTCCAATAATAATGATACGTCATGTAGTTAGCCTTTCTAATTCTGAAAGATAGAAACAGGAAAAAAGATAATTTTTGTAAGAGGAGAGGGAGAAAAAGAACGCTTGCTAAAAATACTGTGCAGAACCTGATCTTTGGCAAGGAGAGACTTCAATCCAGCTCGACTGTTTTAGTGGGAGACAGAAGTTCAGCGTAGCTTGTTGTCAGACTACCCCAAACAGACTATTACAGCCTCCTCCAGGCTAGAAGTTTTAATTTGCCTGACATGAACCCCAGCGTTTGTTGGCATTCCCAGCCTGGCATGCCCCCTGCGTTTCTCTCCCCTCCTGCTAGCTCTCCAGTCTTCCCCTCAACTCCCCCACTCCCACTTTCTCCCTCATAACAAGGAGTTGTGAAAACAGAGGCTAAAATGAGCTGGACCACAAAGAGAAAACAGCTCCATTTATTTTCATCCTGAGGCTATTGCTTCAACTACGCTCTTGATTGGGTGGAAGAAATGTTCGATTCATTTGTGTGGTTTTTATGTCAGTTCTTATTATGGTTGAATCAGTGTTTCCATGATGGGCTTGGTTCTCTGGGTGCTGGAGGAAGTTTATTAATTCTCGGATGGGTCTGGACAGAACAAGTCTGGAGATTTTTTTTTTAGGAATTATCTGGCTTGATATTGCAAACCTCTGCCCACTCGCTCAAAACCAGAGCAGGGGGAAGCAGCCTGAGCCGGTGTACTTCCACATGACCTGGGAAGGAAAAGCTTTACCAAGGAGCAAGCTGTGTGAGCAGGATTGCAGAGGGGTGTGGAACTTTTACTCTTTTTAAGGAGAACACACTTCTCAGGAACTTTAGCCATTCCCGTTTCTATACAAACAATAAATGGGGTTGTAACAAATGTAGTAGATCAGATTCTGAACAGCCTGTCAAAACAGGTCAAGCTATTTGGAAATAAAGATTTTTTTAAAATGAATTTCGTTGGAAATAAAATAGTTTATTTTTAAAAGGATGTAATTCACTTCTCTCTGTTGCTTCAGTTTAACAGTTCCCTATTAGTATGAATCAGTAAGGTTTTACTGTAATCTCAAAACATCATTGATAAGGAAGTGTTGTGACTTCCATCTAAAAAGAGAGCCCTTAAGTTTTGAACTTGTTTGGCCCTGTTACTTAGAAAAACAATGTACTGTGCTCAGATAAAAATCTTTAGTCTCTTCCTCTTCCTGAGCAATTTTAATAGTGTATTTAATATGCTGGAAGTCAACCTTATATTGTTTGGAGAAAAACTGCCTTTCTGCCTTGTTTAGCTTTTGCAGCACCTCATGGAATCTTTATAAACTGTTAATCTTGCCACCTGTCCCAAGGGTTTGCTCAGCAGCCACAAGGTAGGCTGCTGGGGATGAAAAGACCATAAAGAGTGCTTGATCTAAGAAGGTGGTCTGGATAGTGAGATGATGCCTGCATTCCCCAAACAGCCAATAGAAAGCAGCCAGTCATCATCAGGACAGGTCTGATGAGTTAGAAATATATGAAATGTGGGACCGGTAGAAAGGAAGGAGGGTTGGGGTGATTAAGAAGTAAAATAACCCGAAGGAGGATACCATGTGACCTTAAAAATCAGATTGTCCAAGAATGCTGAATTACATAGGACAGGCTTGGGATATGGAGTTAAATTTAAAAAGGAAGTTTCAAAATAGAAAGTAATTTCACTCTTTGAAAATACATCCAGGAAACACTGGAATTATAATCTAGGCATTAAAATGGATGGTGAGATTATAGGTAATTTTTATTTTCTTTGTGCTTGCCTATATTTCTCAACTTTTTACCATAACAGCTAGCATTTATTGAGATCTAAGTATTTACATATGGTATTTTATTTTAAAACACTTTGAGGTAAGTACTACTGTTATTTTTATTATGGAGATTCAGAAACTAGAATCAGAGGGTAAGTTACCCAAGGCCACACAGCCACTAAGTGCTAGAATCAAGTTTTGATTTCCAGTCAGTGGCTAAAATCTATGCACCTCAATCGCTGCTGTCTACCATTGCTTTGCACATGTATTATTATTATTTTAATTATAAGGAAAAAGTAGATAGAAAAGGAAAGGGAAAATATTGCATGCTTTAATAAGAACTGATATTTTGATTAATTGTAAAATGCCTCTGCCTTCCTTCTCTCTCGTTTCCCACTGTCATTTCTCTCTGGAAGTCCTTAAGAATTGTTCCAGACTTAGTCAGAGGTAGCTCACCCTTCCTCTGGGAGCCAGCCCTACCCACAAGAACAATCCAGACTTCCATGGATGCTTCCCCAGCCAGGCTGGAGTTCCAGGAACCCCAGGGGATTCTGGAGCAGTCCCAGTACAAGGCAAGATTTTGAAAGTAGATCAGGCCAATTATGTCTTCATAGCTCTGCCAGTTATGGGAGATGTCATTGTTCTGTGCAGCGTCAGGTGAGTGCGATGGGTGGAAAGACCTGGGGAAAGCGCCCAGCCCCCCATTTCCCTGTGTGTTACATGGAATGTCAGTAGGCTGAGGATTTACCATTGGAACAAGCAAGAGAAAAGGAAAAGCTCATTGTTTCTGGATGTTTATTACTGTGAAAACACAATAATAAACTATTTTTTGAAAGTTTGGCTGTGTGGGTGATCTCATGTATTGGCAGGTTTGATTGATTTAGTGGAAATGGAAATATTCAGTGTGAGTGGTTCAGGGGCCAGCTCTGGGAACAAATGCCCACACGTGCCGCTAACACCATGTGCTTTCACAGGCAACCAGGTCCCAGAGAAGGCCACCTTACCCATCCTCTTTGTGGAATATACCTAAAGATTCCCAGAAGGATCAGCTTTCTTAAAGCACCTGATCAATCAAATAACAAGGCTCTATCTCTTCTATTCCTTAAGGAAGAAATTTCTGGAAGGATGATGATTCTGAATGATAATCTTTTCTTTGTTGAAAAAAAGTGGTAAGATAAGGGTTGAGGATCTCTTTCCTAAATTAGCACACTTAGACCAATGTCCCGGATCTTGTATCCATTAACCATTATGAGAAATTTCTTTCTGGTCTCAGTGGCAGGAATGGTCCTTGTGAGCAACTTGTCTGTTATGTCTTATGGATGCTGTGACCCCTTTAAGTGATGTTTTCCATTTCTCATTCGGCCAAAGGTAGCTCAGAGCCAATTTAGTAGCCACTTCTACCAAATGTATAGGATTTTATGGTCTCTCTTTTTCACAACTAATAACATACACCTTACATTTCCTATTTATACTTTTCCTTGGCTCTCAATTTTATATTGTTTTGTTTTATTTATTCAGTGCATTTTGGGAGCTGCTACTTTGAATACTACTTATTCTGGGTTCACTTTTCTTTTCTTTTTTCTTTCTTTTCTTTTCTTTTCTTCTTTCTTTTTTTTTTTTTTTTGAAACAGTCTTGCTCTGTCACCCTGGGTAGAGGGCAGTGGCAGCATTGTAGATCACTGCAACCTCAAACTCCTGGGTTCAAGTGATCCTCCTGTCCCAGTCCCAGTAAGTAGTTGGGACTACAGGTGTGTGCCACATTGCCTGGGTAATTTTTCTATTTTTAGTAGAGGGTGGGTGGTTGCTGTTGCTCAGGCTGGTCTTGAACTCCTGACCTCAAGTGATCCTTATACCTCAGCCTCCCAGAGTGCTAGGATTATATGCGTGAGCCACTGTGCCTAGCCCTGTGTTCATTTTTCTTCATGTTAATGTAAATTTGGAAGCTCTTTCATAAAGGATATTGAGTAAATTCTAAAGTATTTGTATGCCTGAAAATGTCTTTCTTTTGCTCTTAAGCATGAGAATTGGGCTGATTGTAGAATTCTAGACTCAAAATTATTCTCTTGGTACTCAGAAGATATTGCAGCATCATCTTCTTGCATATATTGCTCCTACTAAGAAGTCTGATGACAAAGAATTGTCACTTCATAATAAAGTATCTTCTCCCTGGTAGCCTTCGGGATTTTTCTAAAATGTTATACAGGTTTATCTAGGTGAGGACTTAGAAAATTTTATCCTACCTAGCAGTCAGTGAGCATTTGTGATTGCCTAGCTGTGTAACCTTGGACAAGTTACCCAAGTTCTCTCAGTCTCATCTATGAAGTAGAAATAATAACAGCAAACACTGCAAGGATATTATGAAGAGATGAATACATGAAAAATGTTAGAATAGTGCCTGTCATATAAGAAGCACACAATAATTGCTATTATGATTACTTTT